GTTTACCACTTTATGTGTTTTACCATTTACCAATTTACTGTTTATTATTTTGTTTTGTGACTTATGACTAATATTTTGAAGTTTTTATAATTTTTTGAACGAAAAATTAAATGGTTGAAATATTTTTCATGTTAAATTATAAATTAAAAATATATTTTATTTTGTGGGATCTTAGGATCCCAATCCCGATCTTGCAAACCCAAAAACGATCACATGTAAGATCCGGATCTTGACAACCTTGAGTTATATAATCATAATACGGTTTATCCGGTTCTTTTCAGTTATAAATGAATTAGGTAGGTGTATCCAAGATAACCCTAATCCCTTAACTTCTTGTCTAAGGCATTCAAGGCACCCTTAGAGCCCAAGGAAACCCTAAGAATACCATAGGATTCGTCCCCCCCACCCCCCCCCCCCCCACCCCCACCCTAGGGAGGTTTTAGAATGCTCAATGCTTAACTATTTAACATTGTCACGTTTAGTCCCTGCAGTTTCAATTAATTAATTTAATCCCAAAATTAATTCCAAATTAATTTCTCATTAAATATTAATTAAACAATATGATTTCTAATTAATATATTATATCCATAATACATTAATAAATCATTTATCTTGATTTCAAATTAATTTATTAACCAAGTAATAAATTAATGGGAATAAGTCATTTTTCTCTCTATAACAGTTATCCTATTCAATTGTTAGGTTTGAAGGCAACCCAAAAGGACATTGCTACTATCAAATCAAGTCAATATCAATTATATTTATGTGCTTAGACACCTAATCCAACAGGAAGAAGGCCTTCCGGCCGCAACTAATAGAGAGAGGGGGAAGATGGGTAAGGGGTGGGTAGGGTGGGTTATGGGGGGTGGTATGGGACAAAGATTAGTCTAAAGGTTTACTACTCTAGGGTTAGTGTAAGTGCATAAAGGTGGCTTGTTTATGATGGGGAACATTGTATTAATTAGTGACTTTTTATTAAAAAAAAAAAGTTAACCCTTTATAAATTCTTGATACTTTTATAAAAATGGTGGTGTTTTATAAAATAAATATGATATAAAGGATGTATAAAATATCTAATTTGAATTATAAAAATTCAAATTATTACAACAAGCATTATTATCAAAATAATAATACATTATATGAAAGTTAGGTTGAACTTCCAATTTCGTTTCGTTAAAAATTGTGTTTAGACGAGTATAGATTTTGTCGTATTTGGTGATGACTTCACCAAAAGTTTGTGTTTGTAGCATTTGCTATGATCTTGCCCCATAGTGTTAGGTTTACGTACTGTACTACATTGTGTTATAAATATTATTTATTCCCAAATAATATAGGGTTAATGTTATTTTTGGTCACTTAACTTTTGGTTTTGTGTTCATTTGGTCACTTAACTCTTTTTAATTTTTAAAAGTCATCAAAAATTTTACTTTGTATTCATTTAGTCACCTAACTTTTGGTTTGGTCACTTAACTTTTGAATTTGTGCTCATTTAGTCACCTAACTTTTAAAATTGTGCTCATTTAGTCACCTAACTTTTAAAATTGTGCTCATTTAGTCACTAAAATTTTGAAAAAATTTAAAAGTTTAGTGACTAAATGAGCACAATTTTAAAAGTTAGGTGACTAAATGTGACCAAACCAAAAGTTAAGTGACCAAATGAGCATAATGTCAAAAGTTTGATGACATTTTAAAACTTAAAAAGAGTTAAGTGACCTAATGAGCACAAAACCAAAAGTTAAGTGACAAAAAATGACCTAAACTCAATAATATATATATCTGAATTATCGAGTTGTTACGTTACAAACCCTAATTAGGGTTTATATTTGATAATTGGTAAAAAGAAATGTATTTTGTAGTAATACCTGTAAGTTGTACATTATGAACATTAGGAAACATAGTGCTTATCCTAAAATCCTAATACTAGTCGAGTTGATCTGGTTGATTTTGTTTGACCCAAAATTGACAGTTGTCACATTTAGACAACAGTTATTCATAAAATTTGGCAAATAAACTCCAAGGATTAGTATCTATAACACCATTTACTCTTGTATACTTCAATATTCGTTTTGTGTTATAACAAGTATAATAATCAAATTTAGGAAGTTTCATTTCCGTTATATATATATATATATATATATATATATATATATATATATATATATATATATATATATATATATATATATATATATATATATATATATATATATATAAAGTGAATATATGGTTGTAATGTATATAATGATGGATAAAGAACCACCTAAAACTACGTAGTTTTATTAAAATTACTTCAAATATTTATCGGTAATATTTAGGTTTTCTATTTCTTGGATTTTAGTAACACTTTTTCTCGCGTTTTTCTTATTTTTCATCAAAATCAACTCTACTGCATTTGATTAAATGAACACCGCAGCAAGCTAAAATTTATCACAAATAATGACGTATTATGCAACAATTCCACTATACTTGAATATGCGAATAAGAACTAATGAGTTTGTATCGAAATCAATATCTCATTTAGTGCAATATAGAATTATTTATTATTTGTTAACTCCAAATAATAATAAAATAGTCATTGATGCAAACAATGGTCAACCATTATTGATTTGAAATAGCATCACAAGGTTTTATTGAATTTATTAGTTTTCTGTAGTTTTTGTTTTAGGTTTCTTTCTGGTGTAGTGATAGTTAGGAGAGGATTGGTGGGCTTTAATTTAGGAAATAATAGATTTTAGGGATATAATTACATCAAAGATATCTAATGATTATGAGATTTTCATTTACAACTACGTAGTTTTGAGAGTTCTATACCTAATATTAGCCACATAATGAAGAATAGAAATTAGGGTTTGATGAAATATGAGCAAACGGAATGAAAGAAAGAAGATGATGAAATATACTAATTGATTAAATGATAACACAATCTAAAAGATTGCCCAGCGAATCTCCCTCTCTCTAAGCAGAAAGCTTAAGAGCCAATACAAATCGTATTCCACTATCAAATTTCTAGACATCCCCCTACTGTGACCTTTCTCTCTATTTATTATAATACTAGCCCACCTATGTGAATTTCCTGTTTTGCCCTTTATTGGGCCTTCTAAACAAAACCTATAAAATTCTTGCTTAAATGGTATTTGGGCCCAGCAATACTCATTTCGTATCATTACTCCCCCCTTCCAAAAAGTCTTGTCCTCAAGAAATTGGATCTGAATTGCCCATGCTTCCTCCCCTGTAGCATCTTCAGCCAGTCGCCCTTTCCACCAAGATAACCACCAATCAACTTGTTCCCAGCGAGCAATGATAGAACAGGAAACAAGAAAAATGATAGGAATCCTCCAATCTGAAGCACTCAATTCCCGTTTTGATAACCAAACTTGTGCAAAGAAAGAACTCCTAGTTTTTTTAAGCAATGAAACAAAACTGAGCAAATGCATCTTGAAAAAGAAAGAGAAGTCCAACGTGTATGCTATAGTTCTCACTTTCTCCACATTTTGAAAAGGTCCCTTAGCAGCAATTTCTTGATGAATGTGCATGGGAACAAACATCCGGCGATGGAATCTAAATTCCACCATATTACTAACACCTCTTAGTTTTTTATCGACTTGTTCCTTCATGTTCATTTGTTCATATAGTAAGAAAGTCTTGAGTTGATGCAGAGCATTTTCTGAACACAGGCCATGAACACCTGGTGAAATCACTCCCGTAGGAATCCAAAAAACTTCGGTAAAACAGTCCCACAATCCTTGTACTTTCTGTTGTTTCAAAGAGGACTCCCCGTGGTTATTTATCCTAACCGAGAATAATGAACAACTCATTGATAGAAATTTGTCTATCAAGGATAAACAATTAGTGAGCGAGGTTGGAGACATCGTAAGCGTATGCAACCTTTAAAGATGAGTTACTACCCCATTGTATACTAATCGCCTCTCCAACTTGTCCCCATAGCAAGTCACTTTGCCTAACCATTTAAGCCATCTCATTCTCACCATTATGTTCAATTGACCTGTAGCAAAGAACAACACTTCAATCGTGAACCCACTTCTAAGTTTTGATTCACATCATATATATATATATATATATATATATATATATATATCCGGTAAGAAATTTTTTTTGGTAGGAAGGTAAGAAGTTTTTTTTCTACATATTTTTTTGACGAACAAAAAAAAAATGAATCACTAGATGATTCACAAGAAAAAATTCTTAAAAAAACATTCATATGATTCATTTTTAAGTAAATTAAGAAAAAATCCACTTTTATGACAATTTTAATGAATAACAACAAAATCATTATATAAATGAATCATCGAGATTTTTTTTTAGAATTTTTTCTTGTGAATCATCTAATGATTCATTTTGTTTGTTCGCGAAAAAAATATGTAGAAAAAAAACTTCTTACCTCTCTCTCTCTCTCTCTCTCTCTCTCTATATATATATATATATATATATATATATATATATATATATATCAATTTGCAAAAAGAAAAAGCATATTGATCACAATCAAGAAAACCATGGATACCCCCAACTTCATTTGGATTATAGAACCTGTATGGAATTGTTATCAAAATTTCTAATTTCAATCTAAAAAGTCAACTACATTTCTGTTTTGATGAATAAGTACACAAAGAGATCAGTCAATTTGCCTCATCCAAATGCTTCTGATACAGTTTCAACAGTTCTGGGGCTTCCTCTTCATACCTCTTCACAAGCCATTTGAGAAACTTGCTTTCTGAATACATCAACCACTTATTGAAGCAAAAACCATCTTTCTCCTCAATCAATCCTTTCTCTGCTAAATACTGATAAACCAAACACCTAGGAATAATCCTCTTCTCTAAGCTAAAACAAATAACTATTGGCCATTGAACAATGTAGCTTCTTTCCCACCCCATCGTATTCACAAGAAAATCGAAGATTCTTGAAATTTTATCAGGTGAAGCCATCATACACCCTGGATACTTCTCAAAAGCCACAAATATCTCATCTTCAGACCAACCTCATTTCTTATAAAGCTCCACCTTCTTATCCCATGTGGATTTGCTCATTGACCTAATAACATGAATCGCCCAAAGAAATCTAGATTTTGAAGGGTCAAACCCCATTTCCTTCACATCCCCAACAACCTTTTTAAATCTATCAGCAGTTGTAAAGAAAGTTCTAGGTTGTTGCGCTAACATTGATGCTATTCTAAGTTTAGGAACCCCTGTATCAAGTAGAAGTTGAATGTTTTCAGCAGCATAGACTTTTAAATCGTAAGTTAAAGCAAGAGGGAAGCGCTTAATGCAACTGGTAACTTTATCATCGGACCCTAAAATGCTTTTTAAGTAGTTAAAACATGGAATGGCTGTATCTTGCAGCTTTTTAGCCAAAATACCTTTCGGTCTAGCGGCTACAATTGCAGCAATATCGGTATTTGAAAGACCTAATGAATTCAAAGTCTGGGAACTAGGCAAAAAGGTCGTTTCAGGATCGGATAATAGGAGTTTGGGGAGCGTATAAATCACCTTTGAAATTTGCGATTTGGTGAACCCGTAGTGGTCGAGAAAGGCCAGAACAGAGTCTGCCGTGTTTGAGGATTTTGATAGATCTAGATGTCTGGAGACTAGAATTGCAGATTCGGGAGAAACCCCACATGAACTGATGAGGTAAGTGATTGTAGATGAGTGTTGATATAAGGAACCTGATGTTTTGGTTGTAAATGGGGACGACTTGGACGAGGAAGAGGATAAGAAGCCATAGCAGCGCAGTTCGTGGTTGATATGAGGCCTCGCATGGACTAAAAATTTTCTACGTACGAAATTAAACACCATTGAACCTCAGGATTAAGAATTTCAAAATAGCACCTTATGATCGATCATTGGTGTACCACGATGCGCTGATATACGAACATTTAGCACTATTCTTTCTTCGAGAGAGAACTCATGAGGCTATGCTGCGGCCTCATTTTCTAGTTTTACCTTCTTCTTTTTTTTACGGGTTTCCAAGTTTTTCCTGAAATCGACTTTTCACAACAAGGAAACAGTGGGTAGAATCAGCAGAAGGTTGATATTTTACGAGGGAGAGAGAGAGAGAGTGCAGAGAGAGACAGCGAGAGAAATCAGGATTACGAGTTGCATTGATACACATGCCTGACGAAGAGATGGAGAACGGGTTGAACCTGCAATTCGATTTTGATGAAAAAATGTAGAAGACGAGCACAATGGGGATGTTAGGGATTGTTTTTTAACCTAATTTTTTTTTCCTTATAATAGCACTTTTTGTTTTTTTTTAAAGAATGTTTTAAAATATGTTTGGAATTTGGATTATCTTTTGAGGAAGCAAAGACTAAAAAATCAAAAGTCATAAAAAAATCATAATTTTTATCTTGTAAAGATTAAAAAACCAAAAGTTACAAAAAGTCATAATTTTGAATCACTCATTTTTTCTTCTTGCTAAAAAGTATTCTAAAAGTATTTTTAGAATTGACAACCATTTGTTAAACTTTTTACTTTTTTGAAAAGCTAAAAGTTCAAAAAGTTTTTGAAAAGTAATCTCAAACACCCTTAATGTTGTGATGTAAGTTGAGTCCGATTTTGAGGAAAACATGGGATAGGGTTTTTGTTTTTAGAATGGTTTTGTTGATGGAATATAGTTTCCAACTTAGGTTGGGGGAGTGTCACCACCAACCCATCGAAAAAAATTATGTCATCTATGCATTACATCTGTTTTACCACTAACCCACTAAATGTAGGAAATGGTTACTAACAATATTTATTTTTTTATAACATTATATTAAATAAAAACATAATTTATAACATACATACATTTTTCTATTTTTTGTAACATTATATTAAAAAAAACAAAATTTATAACATAATTAAATATTTTTATTTTTTTAGTTTTTTGTAACATTGTACTAAATAAAAAATATAATTTATAACATAAATAAACTTTTTGAAAACACAAAAAATAAAACCACATTTCATTAATTAAAAACATAGAAATTTAGAACCTAAATTACTAAAATAAACATAAAACATAACAAATCAAACATTACACTACTTAATTAAAAAACAAAAAAAATCATAGACAAATACTACTCGTCGTCGTCATCGTCAGCATCACCCTCATCCGCCTCGTCGTCACCATCTGCATTCGCCTTGTCATCATCGCCCTCATCCTCTTCGTCTTCATCGTTATTTCCCCCTGGAGTTGTCTCCCCCATATGTGTTCGGGCAAAATCGTGAAGTAGATTATAATGTGCTTCACGATTTTGTATTTCCAAAACCCCAGAGAAGTATGTCGGGCTGCCAATTTGTATCACTGCAGGTAGATTAAATATATCGTTCCCGGTATATGAACATATAACTCTGCCCTCTTCTTCTATTATCATGTTATGTAAAATAACACAAGCAGTCAACATCGTCGTTAGTTTTGCCCTACCCCTTGTTCGTGTTGGATGCTTGATTACGTGCCACCTTTGTTTTATGACTCTAAACGCTCGTTTGATGTCCTTCCGTGCAGACTCCTGTGAGAACTTGAACAATTTTCGTTTTTCATCGGCTGGAAATGAATATGACTTCACATTGTAGCATACTCTGGGTATTTATCTCATTACCTAGGTAATACCCATACTTATATAATTTTCATTCACAACGTATGACATGGCTGATGCTTTACCCTGCAAAATATTGTTAAATAACGGAGATGCTTGAAGCACATTCAGGTCATTGTTGGACTCCGCTATACCAAAGAATGCATGCAAAAAACATAGGTCATGTGAAACAATCGCCTACAATATAACAATCGGGACCCTATGATCTCCTCGTGTGAATTGACCACGCCACGTGCAAACCACCCATCCCTGGGGCGTCTCCTGGGGTTCCAACTCAGCCTCACTCGTCTTTTCTTCTACCACACCGGACAGCCTTATGAAGGATTATTTTTCTGATTTAGGATTACCTTTCCTTCTTTGAGTTGAACCAAGCGCAAGAATTAAAATCATTTTTCCTCGAATTCCAATCATTTCCCGCAAACCAAACGTATTCTAAACAGTTTTTTTTTTTTTTTTTTTTTTTTTTTCTTTGAACATGTTAACCTTATTTGCTTTTTTTTATCTCTATTTATATTGATTAAATATATTTTTTTGGCTACATCGTTTTATTTAAAAAATGATAAATAATGAAATTACAATAGAATACTTAAAAGAGATTTACAAGATCATATATATTTCCCTTGTGGCCATGGAGGTTCGCCTGCAGTGACTCCAGGGCATGAAGCAAAGCTTTATGTTTGCAGCGGGGGATTAGTCGGTGCGCGAAAGCTGGTCCGGAAACCCTCGTTAGGGAAGTTCCCTTTCAAAAAAAAAAAAGATCATATATATTTTGTTCGTTGGTAAGACACATGCATTATGCTTAACATATCTCAAGTTCTAGTCTTCTCACATTTCTTTTCATCTTCATATCCTAATAAATGAAAACTATTTTTGACAAATATCATATTTTCATTACATTTGACAAATATCATTTTTTAAAGATTTTTATTGTTTTTTCCACTTGTTATTTTATGATTTTTTTTTCCATTTTATTAAATTTTATATAATATCTAAATGTAATAAATTTAATAATAAATACATATCAATTTATTAATGCAAGTTTCCTTTTAATTTTTAAGTATTTAAATTTAATTCAATTATTTTACTTGTTTATTTATTTAGATTATATGTTTAAAACCATCTTTTATACTCATCAATAACCATTTTAACGGTGATGTCACATCATCACCATACACAACCACTATATACCCACCACTATAATCTTCTTATTTTTTATTTTTAAATAAAAAATATATATTTTTTCATTGTAGAGAGAGATAAAGAAAGTTAGTGAGAGAATTAAAAGTATTAGGCTACCACTAATTAGTGAGATGGTTTACACTATAATGGTTAGTGTCCTTCTTGGCATACGAGATGGCCTAATGGATCATTGAAAATACAGTAACGACCACCATGATCGGCTTATTGCATAACATATGACTTATTTCTTTAAGATCAACACATGAATCATACATATGAAGTTGTTAACCACGATTTATATTTGTAAATTTAACTCATGAAACAAGATAGACATCAACACAGTCAAAAGAAAGATTGAAAATGCCCCACAATTAACAAAACAAAAGCTTGTTTGAGGAAGGAATCAAGAAATAAAACAAGGATATTTTATAGAAACAAACGATAATATAAAAATTTCCAAAACTTCAAAACCAATTACATAGATAATTTATCAATCAAAAGCTATCGCAAGTTTTGTGATCTCAAATCTAACATAAAAACCTATCAAAAGATTTCGTAACCCAAATAGTTTCTGATTATCCATAATAAAGCAAAAACGCTTCCATGATCAATCGCCCTTCCGCCGGAAAGAGCATCCTTCAGTGAGTCTGGCACGACCACCGGTCGGCTGGCATAACACCGTCTGACAGTTTCCGCATACCACCACGGTTTGAGAGTGGCTAAATACAGTTGTGCTGCACCAACATCAAAAGAGATCAAAAAGGGGTAAACACGAATTGAAAGAAAATACAACAAAAATAAGATCAAAACTCACATGTTGAAACAACCCTGGCACTTGACGTCCTGTAATTGCAAAATTATAAGTTATTAGATACAAATTAGGGTTTTGTATATAAAAAAGTAAAAGAAGCCTAGATACCATGAAGAAAGAGTTTGGTGACTGGACCAGACGTTTCAACTTATGCATCTTCTTCTCTAACTCAGCTGGGGGATTAAGCAGATCGAAATCGTTTGACAGACCCTAAAACGTTCGATAAATTCATTATCACACATACATACATATCGCATTTAGCATCAGATTATGATAGAATTGTGAAACGAGAAACTCACCATGTTGTTTCAAACGTACGAACAGTTAACGATATTGGAGATCGAAGAATACAACTCCGAATTACAGCAGTTTCTTTCCTAAACCCTAAACGATGCTGCACATTCTACATATAATATACATATAATATGACGCTAGATCAATTGTGTTTCATTTCAGACCGTTGATCTAGAGTAAGGCCCGATCGCAAACTGGGCTGTGAAGCGGAAACAATCTATAGCCCATAACAAAAACCGGAAACCCAATAATGGTATTGGGTATCCATTTTTAAGTGTAAAATGATCATTTACACTTAGAAAGATTTATAGTTTTTGATTAAGGTAGTGTTTGTTTTTTGTTTGCAGATCTGCATGGCCTTTTTTGTCTGCGCCGTGCATACCACGCACAGACATTAGCCTTCGCAGACTGTTTGTTTTTTGAAAAATGCAGACTTAAAAATGTTTGTGCGCCCTCTTCTTGATGCAGATGTGGACCAGAGTCTTCTAACATCTTCAGACATCTTCTAGCCTAAAAAAACATATATATATATATATATATAAGTTTTTTTATTTATATTTTTTCTAACTTTATTATTGATAAACAACTTGAAAAAAAACATGATATTTTTGAAAAATATATAAATAAAAATTTATTACAATAATAGTCGTTAAAATTGTTTATATAAATATGAAAAAAAAATCATAATATATTCTTATATTTTTTTGCCAAATTTTGTATAATATTATTTAATACAGTATCGTCAGTTTCTCGATAAAATATTTATGATACGTTTTTAATGGGTTTAATTGAAAAATCGAAATTTATTTCCATCCATTTATATATCAAATTCTTTGATCACTAATTATAATGTTTAGTTATAACTTTGCAACCAAAGTTGTTGATTTTTATCAAATATGTATGTTAATTAATACCATTTTTTTTTATAAAATAATACATAAAAGTTGATCTAGATTCGTTAATTATTTATAACAAAGTCATAAAAATATTTAAAAAATCACTTTGAAGTTAAAAAAAAAATCAGTTTATTTAGATTTCAATTTATTTTAGTAGCCCGCAGATATTAAAAAAACAAACAGTCTTATTTTTCCAGACTGCAGATGTTTGGTCCACCTCTTCTACTGCAGATGTCTACAGATGTGGTCCGCAAACTGCAGACATTTTGCCTCAGAAAAAACAAACAACACCTAAGTGTTCCTTGTGAATTTATAGTTGGGGAGTCGTGGAGCAGCCATTAGAGATTCCTCA